GTCACCACCCAGATCATTGTTTTCCTCACTTAACGATCTCAGATAAGCTCCACTGCCAACAAAGCCAGGTCTCCGCAATCACAAACTGTAAATTCCACCAAAAATGGAAGGATTGAAACAACTGGAGACTACACGACATGGGAAGTGATTACTTTTGGACGAAAATTTTATTGAGCATTTCAAATATTGATTGGGTTGCAGGAAAGAGGAACACTTGGATCCGGAAATGAAGGAGGGTCGATTGATAACAGGGGATTCAGGTGCCAAAACCCCCCACAATAGTTATAGCCGAAGGAAAATGTTAAAAACTTCAAAAAAAGAAGACCCAAAATTGTATTCCCTTTCTCAGTCCTATTCCCCCTTGTTCCTGTTGGAGCTGTGCATGCTAGGTGATGAGGTAAAAACAGAGGTTGAGGGAAGATAATACGGGTATTGATGGATTTGCCGCAGATGGAACGGAGGAGTTGGATTCATAATAGAAGAGGAACCCTAAAGAGGTGAAATTGAACTGAGTCTGTGATGCTGATAATGTCCCTTCATCTCGCCAAAGGGAATTCTACTTCCGTTGGGTTCGCCAAAATGTTGCTGAAAGCAAGTTGGAGAGAGGGACCGAAGCCGAAATGACTGAACTTGCCCTTCCCCAATTTTAATTACAGTTATATCCCTAAGACGATAACCTGATTACCATCCCAAAATCCAGATTCCACGATTATGAAATAATTCCATCAAAATCCCATCTCAAAATTCAAACTTCGCACTCAGCCCAACAATGTAAAACAAGAATTTTTATGACTCTGCTAATGGATATCTCGAGAACAAAACTGTAAAGAACGAAACTTGACATACCTTCGCTACCAGTTTGATACCAACTACCTTAAGGAAGTACATAATAAAGATTCACAGCTTAAACCTTCAAATATGTTTTACAATAAAGAAAGACAAAATTACAAACCATAAAGGGAAGAGAAGGTTGACAATTTTATACAAACCATTGCCAACCATAACAAAAACTTCAAACCCAAAGGGCACTTATTCAAGAAACATTAAATCTAAAGGTCTAAAACACCAACTCTGCAACTAGCTTCTTCTTTGAACAAGTCTTCTGGCTTTCCTCATCTTCCTTCTACTTAGACTTGGTTGGCCATCAAACAAAGACACAAACCATTTTGGTTTTCCTGTTCGGAAGACGTGATATCCCATCAGCAGTCCAAAAACAACTCCACATCCGTAGCCTAACACCACAACTCTCCAGCCAAATCTCCAGAACTCAGCTTTTTCTTGGAAGGAGCTTGGCGGTGTCCCAATTCCATTACAAGATTTTGATAATGGAAATCCACACAGTCCAAGGTTTCCTTCATAAGAATCATTTCCAAAAGTGTTGAACTGATTGCCTTGTGGTATGTGCCCGACAAGTAGATTATTTGAAAGATTCAATACAGAGAGTTGTGTCAAAGATACCAATTCATCAGGAATTTTCCCCGTCAGCTTGTTGGAAGAGTGATCCAACCATTCCAGATTCATCAGATTCCCTAGTGACGGTGGGATATGACCAGTAAAGTTGTTATGAGAAAGATTAAGCCCTTTGAGAGAACTAAGCTTTCCAATAACATCGGGAATTTCTCCCTCAAACTTGTTATTTGAGAGATGAATACTACTGAATATGGTCAAGATTCCCTGCAGCTCATAGTCGAATCCCTTCCATGTCACAACCAGTGAATATTGATAAGAACTG